TAGCAAAAATAAGCTTTGGGTCACGACATCCCTTTGTTTTTTCTTTTTTTTCCCGTGGTTGTGGTGCAAGGCCTCATGTTTGGTAGGCAGTGCTCTGCCACTGAGTTACAGTCTCCAGTCCTTTTTAAGATATTATAGACATAGTCTTGCTTAGTTGCTCAGGCTGACCTGGCACCTGTGATCCTCTTGCCTCAGTGTGCAGAGTAACCTGGATTAAAGGACTGTGCCACTGTATCCAATGACATATGAATTCTTGATATAATAGGGAAAATATGAAAATCACAATTTAAATTAACAAATGTGTGATATATTACAACTGAAAATCTTTCATTCTTTGATTCATATATTCAACTTAATCTGTGTACTCAGAGTTTTATGATAAAGTATGCCATTATATATTTGCCCACTTATTCATTGCAATTTAATCATAATTATTTTCAGGTTAATTGAAATACATCTTTTAAAGAACACTTACTTTATTTACTTTAATACATAAAAGTATTTTTTAATAACATCATCTATGAATATTGATTGTTGCTGGTTGATCTCCTGAAAAGTAGACTCACACAGATGGGGGCAACATCACTCAATGAAAGAGAATCTTCTTGGCTTATAACAAAGGGCACAGCAGTTTATTCTTTGCACTGCTCAGGTCCCCTTCTTCCCAAACATTCTGATAGAGATTCCCCAGGATTACAACAGACCTGCTTCTTGGAAAAAACTTCTACATGGGAGATGGGTAGGAGGCAATATAGCCACTGCCATCGTAGTTGATCTCAGGACTGCAGCTGATCATCATCATTTTCCTCTCCTCTGTATACTCAAGTTCTCTACCCTCAGAGAGTAATTTTGTTGGTATCAGCAGCCTGTCCCATGGTTTGGACCAGATCCCTATCTTAGAGGACTGATTCTCTGAGCGTCATGCCCATTTGCCATCAAAATTGGGCAAAAAAGTACTAACCAAGGGTCATGCAAGTGGGTCCCCAGGGGATTAAAACTAACGAATTCACCTATCTTAGCCCATTTTTTTGTTGGAAAAAAATACTGCCATAAATTAAGCATGTTGTAAAGAAAAAAGATTTAGCCAGGTGTGGTGGCACATGCCTGTAATCCCAGCAAGCCTACCAAATACTGTGATTATAGGCTTGTACTATCATTCCAGGCCTAGTTTAATGTATTTTTATAGTAAATTTATAGAAAAAGCACAGAAGATAGACACCATTAAAACATGTCCTTTCATGCAGGACAACTCATGTAAGAAAAGTGCAGTGAATGGATAGAGTCTATTTATTAGATAATAAAAATATCACAAACACCATTTAATTGCAATCAATAGATTTTCTTATTTTTAAAAAAATCCAAATGTTAGTTTTGTTTGTTTTTTGGTACTGGGGATCAAACTTGGTAGACAGACAGTGGCACCACTGACCTAAACCCCCAGCCTGCAAATGTTAGTTTTGTCCAGAAATTTTAACAGGGTTAAATTATTTCAGACAATTATCTTTTTTATTACACTTGATCTTAGCCAAAAGGCTGAGAAGCAATAATATCTTTTATTAGATGAAATAATTATAATATAGTCAATATGATGGAGTAGTTAAGAACCCTTATTTGAAAATCAGGTATATCTATATCAGAATGTTGTTCTGAAGATAAAATGAGGTACTATAAGTGCATGTAAACTAACATATCACCTCACATAAACTATAGTAACTTTCCTATTAGCTAGTTTATTAGTTATGAGATTAGATTTCTAAAAAAATTATATTTGGGTTTTCCCAAATATCTGTTAGTAATCGACTTACAAATTATCAAAGACTTAATATTTTAGTAATGGAGTCTATCAACAATTAACTAAATAATGTTCAATATAATAACAAATTCAGAGTGAGGGCTATGAAGTAAACTGAAGAAAATAAAGCAAGGTAAGAGACAGAGCAGTGTGGAAGCCTTGGTCAAGGCTTCTCTCAGAAGATGGCACCAGAACAGATGAATGAAATAAGAGAAGGAATCCTGTAACTGTGTTATTTATTATACAAATTTGTGCTCCTCGTAGCTTGTTAGCTGCATCATTTTGGTTCTTAGTCACACTTCTTTATATGGGTAGTGAACTATTTATATTTCTATGACTTAAAATAGCAATCAGATTTTACAGTTCAGGAAAGGAGTGCCTATGCTTCCTGCATCCGTAAGTATCCTTCACTGGTTATATAGTTCCCATTGCTAACTCATTATTTCTTGGCTGGTTTCTTGTCAGACAGGTAAGTGGAATTGGAATTATCAGTATTTTGAAGAGAAACAGGTATTTGGAAGATTGCATCACACAAAAGAAGCTACGATATACAGAGTCTTGGAATCACAAAAATTGGGTTTGAAACCCAGTTCACCATTATCTGTGTGGATATGAATGTGTCTCTTGATATTACTGAGTCTGTTTACTTATCTATAAAATGGGACAATAATGTTTCACATAATTTTTGTAAATGTCAAATGAAGTAATCAATAAGAAAAATTATTGGTATATTACAGGCAATTATTGTTCATTAAGTACATTTGTTCAAATATATGTAACAGCTTGGAATTTCCTAAAAAATAAGAGTCAGGAATTGATTCTCTAAATACAATAATTCTTAAACATACTACACTATCCTAAGAAGCAAATAAAAAAAATTATGTATAAATTATATATAACATAAAATTTTTTCTGTGTTCATTTAAGAGGAGGCCAGGCATGGTGGCATAGTCCTGAGGTACCGGCACTCTGGAGGCTGCAGTAGGAGGATCACCTGGAGTTCGAGGTCAGCCTGGATTTCCTACTGAGGTCAAGGTCAGCTTGAGCTACATACGGAGATCTTGTCTCAAAAAAAAAAAAGTATAAAGCTGGACATGATGGTGCACGTTTGTAATCCTATTTGAGAGGCTGAAGCAAGAGGATTGGTTGAGCCAAGAGTTCAAGACTAGCCTGAATAAAATAGTGAAAACTTGCCCCAAAACAATATAAAAAAGGCCAAAAATAAAACTAATCATATGCAGATATGTTAATTAAATGTAATCACCAAATCTTTCTTTTTTGGTACCAGGGATACAACTCAGGACCTTGTGCTTGCAAGGTAGGCAGTGGCACCACTGAGCTATATCCCTGGCCCTTCCACCAAATAAAAGATGGTAGGATCTTTATGTCAATATTAGACAAAGACACCTGACTGGCCCACAAAACATGCAACAAAGTACATACAACAAAATGGAGAAAAATTAAATTTCATATGCATGTGTACTTCCTTGTCAAGCTGGTTCATTCTTTGCTCTGTTATCTAGCAACTTCATGAAAATGGTACACCTATGCTGTCTCTTCAAAGAAGTTAAGCAGATATCACTTTTAACCAGCAGAAGCATCAACAAAATCATCTGTAACTACTTTGGATAGCGTAACAGTTTCTGTAGGAAGAGGTCCATTTATCTATTTTTTTATAATAGAATTATAAGTAGAACTTTAGAACCTATTGGAATTAAGCTGACTAGACATAAATGTTTCATTAGTCACCACAGCCATCCAAGTAAACCAAAACATGTGCACAAGCAATAGTTTTGAGTTCTTACACAAACTCAATTATGTGTTAGCCAACCCAAGCATCCATTATGCACTCAATAATAGGTATGCCACACCTCTGAACATTAGCAACACCATAAAGAGGCAGGCACAGGCAGCCTAGGTACATTGCTTTCCCTGGTGTTAATATTCTTAGGAAGTGAGGGAAGTTTCAATGAGACTGTCTTCATCCTTATAAAACTCTAAGAGCAGTGTTCTAGATCTCTTATCCTCTATTAGCAGTATTAATAACTAGACTGTGCAGAATAACATTGTCTTGAAAAAAATTGCACAGTACTGTAGAAGGAAAGAAAATGTGGCATGCCAGAGTAGGGTCAGATTTCTAATTGCTAGTGATGGTAGTTTCCTCAGCATTAAAGCCTCTATTGAGGACAGACACCCTTGTAAAGGAGAGGAGATGGTCTCCATTTGCCCTGGTGCCATTATGGAATAAAGTAAACAAAAGAAAACTAAGAATGTTTTAAAAACCAAGGACGCAAGTGACCCCTAGAAAGGCACGCGGTTGCTCGTTATGAAGCATTTAGAGTGCGATGTATTCTCAAAACTGGTTACAGTAATTACCACAGCACACCCTTGTGACGTAAGGGTATTATCATCTTAGGTTCATAAATGAAAAAACCGAGGCAATGAATGAGTCACTCATCTAAAGAGAATGAGTCAACACCCAGAGTAAGGGTTGATCCGGCCACGCGACTCCTGACCGCCCGCCTAGGCCTTGTCAGGGGACAGTGGCTGCCCGGACTGGCACTTTGCTTTGAGCTACTTCTGTTCTCGTCAAAGCAGAGGACTGCAAACGCTTGGTCAGAACGTCCAAAAAAGTTTTACTCGAAGCAAGATTTACCTCTGAGGTCTCACCCTCAGAACGTGGCCCAGGGACAGCTGCCGGGCGAAGCCCCACCCAGGCGTGACGGGGACCGGACAGCCCAGCCGTCCCCCGCCGCAGTGATGGCAACAAGCGGCCCCCAGCGTCAGCGCCGCGGGGACCTGCAGGTCTGATTACTTACAGGGCCCCTCTGGACCCCGCGTCTTTGAAATTACGGTAGCAGAAAATGGTGGGCAGTCAAAAGAAAACTAAAAACACAAGCAATTTGTTCAAGGGCATTAAATAAGCAAATGAAGACTTATTGTGTGTGTGCTGAGCCTGTAGTTTCCAATCTTCTGGAGATGAGAGGACAAGGCGGCGAAGGGCACAGCGAGCACGCCGGGAGCTGAGGAAGCCCAGAAAACTAGATCACACAGTCCCATGCGAGGCTCCCCACCTAGAACTGCTTACCCAGCTACTGACCACGTGACCCGCCCCCGCAATGTCTCAGGTTTTAAAAAAAGAAGTGAGACTCCACTTCCCAGAAGCCTCTCGTGACCCGCGCAGCCGCAGTTTTGCGCAGCCGCCGCCAGGGCCAAACGGACACGTCCGTCACGCGGACAATAGCCGGCCAATCCGGTTTGAACCTCATTTTTTCCTCTCACCGCCCCCCCACTTCAGGAGCGGTTGTGTGATCAGATCGATCTAAGATGGCGACTGTGGAACCGGTGAGCATTGCCTTTGGCCCCGCAGCCCCGCGGATCACCGCGCTCCGTGTCCCTTGGGACCGGGGCGCTCTGCGGGACTGCATTCCCTGTGCGCACGCCGCCCCCTTCCCGCCCTGCTCCTCTAGGG